TTGCGCCATCAGGGCTCCGTCATGCTCTCATAGCATGCTGTAATTCCCCAGCCATAGCAGTTTTCACACTGCATTGTTGTTCTCTGTTTATTGGGCTGGAATGTAAACTTCCTGGGGCCAGAGATCGTGTACCATCTCTTAAGGATTCTATCTTCACAACTCCTCTCTATAGTAGGGAATGAACCACTGTTTTTAAAAGATTATTTGCTTGCACAAAATTAGGGAGAACACCAATAGCTCAGGATGAATTCTTTTATGAAGAATAACCAAATTTCATTTTGAATGAGACTCTATAACTTCATTTAGAGTGAATCATAGATTGAAATTTGAAAGTATAGGCACACACTAGACCAGCTTCCTTGTCCTGCGGACATGGTAAATTACTGTTTATTAATTAATCTACGAGGCACATTGCTTTAATCCATTGACACTTTTTAAAGGTACATCCTAATTTTCCCCTTTTAAGCTCTAAGGAAACAATAAAATACACACCAAAATCATAACATTAGAAACTGAGTCTGGCCATCCAGGCCTTACACTGTTAGGCTCTGCCTGCCTCATCCTACCAAAGAGGACTTCTTTGTGAGTCTTCTCTCCTTAGCCTCTCAGTTGGATCCACCGTTAAAAATGGCTTTCTGGTATATATTTGTAAACTTTTCTTTAAATTTCTAAGTTTTTTGAGTACTATACTAGCCACAGTATCTAACAGGCACTCAATAAAGAGTTGAATGATAGAATTAATTCTCAAGTATATACGTTTTTTGTTTAATTTGCACTGGGCTATTTTGTCAAGATAATTCATCTCATGCTCTATAAAAATTTTATATTCAATAACCAAATCAAATCCACTGCCGTCTAGTAGATTCTGACTCAGCAACCCTATAGGACAGAGTAGAATTGCCCCATAAGGTTTCCATGGCTGTAATCATTACGGAAGCAGAGGAAGCAGACTGCCACATCTTTCTTCTGAGGAGTGACTGGTGGGTTAAGCCACCAACCTTTTGGTTAGCAGCAGAGCACTTTAACCACTGTACCACCAGGGTGCCTTTTTATTAACTTCAATAATACACACTATGCATAGTATCTATAGTTTAGTTCCAGAAAAATATTTGTTTTCTCAAGTGGATTTTATCCTTTCCTTTGACTGATCAATTTAAATAATGGACCCGCCATGTCTTCCCCCTTTTAAAGGCTTTGCTACTAATATTGAATTCAGGACCCTGCTTATCCAACCTC